GAGGAGGAGGAATAGAAGCAGGAGGAGGGGGAGGAATAGAAGGAGGAGGAGGAGGAGGAGGAGGAGGAGGAGGAAAGAGGCGACGGCTCGAGCAAGCCAACGCTTGTCCAACGTATAGAAGAAGAAGCAGGAGGAGGAGGAGGAGGAGGAGGAGGATCATCGGCCCTCGTCGCGCCGGCGCCTGGCGCTGCCAGAAGCGGCCGCGGACCAGGGCGGCCCACCCGGCTCTTCGCGCCTCCTTTGGGGGCCCCTGTGGTGCTCTGGGCCTCGTGGGGGGTACCGTCGGTCGGGGGTGGACACAACCCCCAACAGTGACACGTCGATTAGTGAATTATCCGTTTTCGGTTCTCGAGAGGGCGCCGTGGCCGTTATTTTCCAGGCTTGCGCTCGCCAGGTTTGGGCCTCAGGTCGTTTTCACTAAACCACGTTTTACTAAAGGGGGGTCTGTCCATCCCCGAGTCGGACCGGCGTGCGAGATCTACAGGTCGGTTTGGGGAGGGTACCCCAGTGTTCTTCGTGTTGGGGTTGAGTCGGGCAGGTCCCTCTGCAGGAGGAATGTACAGAGATAGCCAAAAATAGTGTGGAGACGATTTTTCGACTATGTTAGAGCATGTTTTGACTGGCTTCGATGTTTCCTTCAAACTCCGCCTGTAGGAGGAAATGCCTGACCTAACTATAGATCGGTTTGGGGAGGGTACCCTTGTGTTATGTTGTTCCCATCGTACATCCCAGAAATAATTTCGAGCACCCAGCGAAGTAGCGAAACAGTGTCGAAAGAGTATCGCCTCCCAGGGCCCGACACGTGAGAACCCCCCAGTTTCGGTACTTTCTTGGTGCTCGAAATTGTTTCTGGTGATCAAGACTGAAGCAGGTTGGAACGTCATAACCCTAGTGTTTTTCGCGCTTGCGTTGGATACTCTTGTGCATCCTGGGGAGGGTACCCTTGGGTGTTCTGTTTGCTTTGGCCGACGGAGGGTCTCACGCTCTTGAGGGATGTTCTTCTGGCCTGGGTCCGACTACACTCTGGAAGCCATCGGCACCCCCTTCGCCCCGGCGTCGGGCGTTGCCGGAAGTGGCCGCAAGCAAGGGCGGCCCCAGCTCTTCGCGCCGCTCTGGGGCCTCTGTGGCTCTCTGGGCCTCGTGAGGGGTGCAGACTGTGGGAGCCAGCGGCGCCCTCGTCGCCCCGGTGTCGGGCGTTGCCTGGAGCGGCAGTGGGCCAGGGCCACCCCAGCTTTCCCAGGGGAGCGCCGATGGCTTCCAGAGTACTCCCGCACGAGGCTCAGGGACCCCAAAGTTAGCGCGAAAGGTCTGGAACACCATGGGCAAGGAGCGCTTCTGGCAACGCTTGAGTCGGGCCTGTTCTTATACAGGAGGAATATGCAAAACTAGTCCACAAACAGTCAGGGGACGATTTTTCGACGACTAGGCTTGAACTTTTTAAATGTTGTTTGACTATTTGGATTTCTCTTCCAAGGTCCGCCTGTAGGAGGACATGCCCGACCTCACAACGCCCGAAGGGTTTGCCTCGAGATCCTGGTCAGAACGCACTGCGGGAGAGCGTTGTGGAGTAGCGGCGTCGGTATCTAGGTCACCCGCGGGGGCGCGAAGGTAGTCGTGTTTCGCGCGTCGCGGCCTTGTCCAGAGCGGCTGCCCTTCTCCAGGAGGGCTGCGCGCGGCCGCGAGGGCGCGATGGTCATCGCGCACCGCGGGGGCGCGAGGGCGCGAAGTCAGGTGGCCTAGAGCAGCGGTATTGGATCGGAGGTTGGTAGACCTCCTGCCCTGACACGTCGATTAATGAATCGGCCGTTTCCGGTTCGCGGGAGGGCGTCGCGGCCGTCATGTCTGCGGGTCGAGGTCCGTCGGGTTCGGTCCCAGGCCGTTGTCACTGAGGGGAGGTTTCCTAAAGGGAAGTTTGTCCACCGCCGATCTTGGAGTCTGTTGTCCCCCCTGCCCAGGCGGGGGACTGGAACTGCCCCGCGTGTGGCGACCTCGTGTTCTCAAGGAACCTGCAGTGCCGGAAGTGCGGCAAGCCGCGCCCAGGCTCTGGACGCCCGAAATGGGTACTGAAAGAATGGGTACAATGCCCAACAACAATTCCTGTTCATGTTGAACAGGATTCGCTGTCCGCGCCGCCGCGGCCTGTGTCCATTCGAGACAGAAGGCCGCCTGCCCAACAGCGGCCGCTGTTGGCTTGGGACATCATTTGTTGTTGGGCATAGTGCCCATTCTTTCCGTACCCATTTCGGGCGTCCAAAGGCACGGAGGGCATGGCGTTGCCGTCGGCACCGCAGACGGTCGCCTCGTTCACGGCGTACGGCAACCAGGCGTCGGTGTCGTTTAACCGATCCCCATCGCCATCCCCATCCCCATCCCCTTCGAGACCCCCACCAACCCTGACCTTCCAGAGAGCTATTTTTTAGCACTGGAGACCTAAAAACATATATATACATATATATATATACAAAAAACAAAAAAAACAAAAAAACAAAAAAAAAAAAAAAAAAAAAAAAAAAAAAAAAACGAAACGAAATTGCCTAAAACCAAGACGTAGAATAGCTCTGGGATAGGTTTTTAAGTCGCGTGCTATGTTTTAGCCCTCCTGGAAGGTCAGGGAAATTACCACCCCAGTTAGGGATACGCCCTCCGAGACCTGGAGGGAACGACTTATATCCCCATCCAGAGGGTGAATCGGCCAGTGGGGCCCAGGCCACGCCGCTGGGGATGGGGATCGACTAAACGATGCTCAAGGTGGACGGCGATTGGAACTGCCTCAGGCCCGGGGGCGAGCAAGAATTCGGGTTGCAGTGGAGACTCCAGGGTGCCCTGGGTTTCTTGGGCTCCGATGGCTTTGCCGTGGCAAGCGCGACGCTCCCACACCAGAAATCGATGGATGTCCTGGGGTCTCAGGGTTGTGTTTCTTGTGGAAGGTTTCTTGTGGTCGGGCCCCACATGTACAGTCGGGGCCCTGGAGAAGGAACCCTTTTGGTTGGGGAGGGGCTCCGTGTTCCTTAAGTGTTTCGCAGCTTGCCTCAGGCTTTCCATCTGGTTTCGGCAGGAACTCGAAGTTCAACTGATGGAAAATAGGGGCCTCGTTCCTTATTTAGGGTTCCAGGTCAACGCCTCGACTGTATTGTCGAGGGCCACAGAGGATCCTGCATGGAGAAAACGGCACGGTGAGGAACGTTGGCTTGGCGTGCGGCGCCGCCGCCTCTGGCCTTCCACGCTCTGCAGAGACGCGCTGTCCGCGCTCCCACTCCCGAGCGTCAGCGTCTCGAGTTGTTCGGAGCCTCCCGCCCTTGGCATCGCTCGGACGTGTGCATTTTTCCCTCGGCGAGGGCCATCGAGGAGCATCCTTGACCATTTGGCGAAAAAACCACGCACGAAACCGAGAAAAGCACAGGGAATCGACGTCCGAGCGATGGCCAGCGCCCCGCGGAGCGGAGCGACACGCCATTAGCTTGCAAGGCATGGCACGGCGTGTCGCCGATGCCGCCGCTGCGACACGCTGAGAAACAAGCTCCCGCCCGCAGATCGGTGGTCTGTGCTGGCTTCGCGGGAGCGGCGTGCTGTTCCACGGATGGCAAAGGTCACATCCACCACCAGGCCAGTTCGGGCCCAGGTCGATGTGCACATATAAAGCACGGGCCACGCTGATGATGCCCCAACCTACATGACTTTGCCCACCAGAAAGAATTTCGGGCACCAAGAAAATACCGAGACTGAGGGAGTTTCACGTGTCGGGCACTGGGAGGCGCTGCTCGTTCGACGTTTCGCTAGCGCGTCGGGCGGACTTTGCGTCGATAGGTTTCTGGGTGCTCGAAAGCATTTCTGGGATGTGCGCCTTAAGTACGATGGGAACAAAATAAGGCCACACCAGGAGGGTGTATGTACACCAACTGTTACGCCCAGGCTGCTCCTGGGCTGGCCAGGTGGCGGTGTGTACGATGACTTCCGGCTCAACCTGCCACCAGGCATGGGTTGTGGACCAGAGGCCCCTTTGGATGTTTCTGGTCTGCTGGCGTTTTCTTAAACGGCCTTAGGCACTAGACAGCCTTGCCCCCTGTTCGATTCCTTCTGTGGGTGCGTCTGCTGAACGGCTTCGCGTGTCGGGGATGATCATTCTGGGGGTGGATTTTCTGCCCTCTGTGTTTTGGGGCCTCCTGGGGGGTTACTTGGGGCCTCTCGGAGACCTGCGTGGGGGCCTCTTGAGTGCCTCTTGCAGGCCTGCCCGCCGTCTCGCGGACCCTCTTGGAGTGCAGGGCTCCAGATGACAGCGCGCACCCTCTTGGGCGGGTCTTGGGCGGGTCTTGAACGCTTCGAAGACCGAGCAGGCGAAAAAGGCAAGCTCTCGAACGTCACACCGAAGTACAGCAACGCCGCTCCGTGAGTTTGACCTCGTGGGCCAGCCCCCACGTCCTCCAAGGCGGCCCCCTGCTGGCCGACTCAGGGCGGCCCCGGGGCCGTCCTCACGGTACCTTCTCAACGCGAGAGTTGGCCTCTTGGAGACCGCATCGCGCTTCCGAGGCTTTTGGTGGGGATATACAGTGGAGACCCATGCCAGAAGACATCCTGCTTACCTCCAGGGAGCCCCGGGTTTCTTGGAGTTCGACGGTTCCCCCGTGGGAAGCGCGAGGTTCCCACACCAAAGATCGATGGACGCCCTGGGGTCTCAGGGTTGCGTTCCTTGCTGTACCCAACACAAAGAACTCGGAGGTACCTCAGGACACTCCGCTGAGTGCCTCGATGCACGGCACGGGGGCGGATCTCGGTGTTTTGACGAAGCCCGGGAAGGCAGGGCCCGATCTCAAGGAACAGATACGCCCCACGCCTTCATGGCAGCGGTGGGCCTTCTGGCCCTTTTTCAGCAGGCCGCATCCCCTCGCCCGGCCCCCCTCTGGCGCCTCCCCCTTGGCAGGTGCGGCGACCTCCAGTTCCGGCGCAACGTGCAGTGCCGCAAGTGCGGCCAGGCGAAGCCCGGCTACGAGGCCACAGTGCAGAAGATGAGGCTGGAGGGCTCGATGCCGAGCAACAACTACATGAACCCTGGCAAGGCCAACCCAGAGGGCACTGCGGCCATGCAGCTGGCCATGGCGAAGATGCAGGCCGACTTGGCCAAGGACTCGATGGGCACAGCATTTTAAGTCGGGCCTGTCCCTCAACAGGAGGAAGATTCAAGAGAGTCAGAAAATAGTCTGGGGTCGATGTTTTGAATATTGTTGCGCATGTTTTGATTAACTTTTGATGATTTGTCATTGTTCGTCCAGAATCGGTCTCTGTGGGGGGACGCGCCCGCGCAGACACTCACGAAGGCCCGCGTGGATCTGTCAGCGTCACGAGCGACGCACGCGCCCAGGCCCAGATGTCCAGGCCATCTCGGTTTTGATGACCACCGCGGTGGGACCCCATGGATACGACATCCCAATGGATACGCTTCGGAGGTTGATGGACCCCCTACCCTGACACGTCGATTAGCGAATTGGCCGCTTTCGGTTCGCGGGAGGGCGTCGCGGCCGTCATTTTTGCGGGTCCAGGTCCGTCGGCTTCGGTCCTAGGCCGTTTTCACCAAAGGGTGGTTTACTAGCGGGAGGTTTGTCCACCGCCAAACGTTCCGCGCGGGATCTCCAAACAGGGCCGCCCTGGATTCATATGATCGCGGATGGTGATCGTTCTCTCATTCATTGTTTTGCCGATCGGCGCGGACCCTTGCACCGCCACCTTCCCCATAATGGACGCGCTGCTGCAAACAGTCGCATCGAGCAGTGGACCGGAGCCAGACCCATCCCCCTACCTTCTCCCCGTCGGCCCATGGTCGAAACGCCGAACCAGAAAACGCTCGCCTGCATCCATGTGATCGCGGATGAGGGGGTGAGCGTTTTCCTATTCGGCGTTTCGACACAGGGCGGACGGGGAGGGGCGAGGGGGGGGTCTGGCCCTGTACCTCTGCTCACGGCGCCTGCTTGCGGCGTGGCGTCCTAGGGGGGAGCCTCCACCCGCTCGAGGCAGGCGCCCCAAAAAAGGCCAGGATCTGCTCCGTGGTTGGGGCGGGGGGAGGGGCGGGGTGCGAGGGCCCGCGCCGATCGGCGAATGACCGAGAAAAGAAAGAGCGCGTTCTACCGCTGCTGGCGGAAAACCCGGGGGGGGTCCCTACCTGTTCGAACCCCCCCCCCCTCTGGAAAACCAGGGGGGTCACTACCGGTTCGAACCCCCCCCCTCGAAAACCGGGGGGGGGGGTCATTACCGGCTCGAACCCCCCTCCCGGTTCCGGGGGGGACCCCCGGGTTCCCGGGGGGCATTTTCCACAGGACCGTGGCGGTGGATCGCGCTCTCTCCTGACCTTCCAGAGAGCTATTTTTTAGCACTGGAGACCTAAAAACTTAAAAAACGAAACGAAACAGCCTAAAACCAAGACGTAGAATAGCTCTGGGATAGGCTTTCTATGTTGCGTGTTATTTTTTAGCCCTCCTGGAAGGTCAGGGGGATCACGCTCTCTCCAAGAAAACGGCCACGGGCCCGCGCCGATCGGCGGGGCCCTGTCTGTGGCCTCCTGCCTCCCGCCCGCGAGGGGCCGGCGCGGGGCGGCCTCCCCTGGGGCGGCGCCCCCAGCGCGCCGGCCCGAGGGCGCGCTGCGCGCTCCCCCTTGGGGTTGGAGGCCTAGAAATTGGCACCAGCACCAACACAGGGGGGGGGGGCCTCCACAGGGGGAATAGTTCGGTCACCTTGGCAATAGTTCGGTCAATAGTGTTCGGTGTTGGTGGCAATAGTTGGTCAATAGTTCGGTCAATAGTTCGGTCAATAGTTGGCAGTAGTTCGGTCAATAGTTCGGTCACCTTGGCAATAGTTCGGTCAATAGTTGGCAGTAGTCCGGTGTTGGTGGCAATAGTTCGGTCACCTTGGAAGCCGGAGGATTACCACCATCACCGAGATCGGGATCTCCTTCCCTCGGTGGAGGCACACCGCCGATGTTGGTGTTGGTGTCAACCTTTAGGCCCGCGATGGGGGTTAAGGCGGGCCTGTCCCTCTACAGGGGGGGGATAGTCAAAAAGAGCGAAAAAATAGCAGGGGGACTATTTTTTTAATTATTGTTTTCGAACCATGTGGGAATCTGTTTTGCGCATGTTTCGGAGGTGCATAGACCTCCTACCCTGACACGTCGATTAAGGAATTGGCCGGTTTCGGATCGCGAGAGGGCGTCGCGGCCGTCATTTTTGCGGGTCCAGGTCCGTCGGTTTCGGTCCGAGGCCGTTTTCACTGAGGGGAGGTTTACTAAAGGGAGGTTTGTCCACCGCCGATTTTTTTTATTTTTCGTCGAGAATCCCCCTGTAGGAGGACTGACCGGACCTAACCTTGGGGAGGAGGGGGCCCGGCGCCGACGCGAGGCCTCCGCACGGACCGTTCCGCAAATGCCCCAAGCAGTGCTTGCACTGTGGGGTTCTTACTTTCGGGAGGGGGAGAGACGCACAGACACAATCAGTCGTCGACCCCCCGGGAAAATGTGGGAAGAGGTGGGGAGTGGGAGGGAAAGTCGAGAGCCCCGAAAGTGCAGGAAACTGCGGGGCATCCAGGGATGTGTGTCGATGTATTTTTGTGCGTCCTTGGGCTCCCTTAGTGATAGGCATCACAGGGAGGAAAAAACCACCCGGAGCAGAAAACATGGGGAAAGGTGGGGAAAATGTGGGAAGTGGGAGGGAAAGTCGAGAGCCCCGAAAGTGCAGGAAATTGCGGGGCATCCGGGGATGTGTGTCGATGTATTTGTGCGTCCTTGGGCCCCTTTAGTGATAGGCATCACAGGGAGGAAAAAAACACCCCGAGCAGAAAACATGGCATCTGCTCAACGGGAGGAAAATCACAGGGAGGAAAATCACAGGAAGGAAAACCACAGAAAACCACCAAGAGAGGAGAAATCACAGGGAGGAAAAAACCACCCGGAGCAGAAAACACTGGCATCTGCTCAACGGGCCCTGGGTGCTGACTGGACAGCGCCTCGCCCTGTCCGATTCCTCCGTTGGGTGCGTCTACTATACACGGCTTCGCGCGCCGGGGTGGTTGTTGCCGGGGTGGATCTTCTGCCTTCGAAGGTTAAGTCGGGCCTGTCCCTCCACAGGGGGACTATTCAGAAATAGTGGAAATAGTGTATCTTCTGCCCTCGAAGGTTTAATCGGGCCTGTCCCTCCACTGGGGGGACTATTCAGAAATAGATTAAACAAAAACTTGTATGGGGACTATTTTGTTGAGTGTTTGTGGGCATGTTTGGGAGTATGCTTTGAGTGTGTTGTATTTCTCGTCGACCATCCCCCCGTAGGGGGACACGCCCGACTTAACCCTGAGGTTACCGGATAGGTCTGCGAGCTGCTTCGCCCGGTGGGCGGCCGCGGGGCGCCCGCGCGGGTACCCCGTGCGCTGGCCTTCTGTCGGGCGTGTCCCCCTGCAGGGGGATCTTCGACGAAAAATCAAAAATACCCTAACAAAAATACCCCCAAAAGGTCTGAACATACTGTCAAAAAAATAGTCCCCTGACTATTTTCCGGTTATTGTTGTTCTATGTTTGGGGCATTTTTTATTCTTCGTCGAAGCTCCCCCTGTAGGGGGAAAGGCCCAAAAGTACCCCCAAAAGGTCAGAAAATACTAAGAAAAATAGTCCCCTGACTATTTTTCTATTATCTTTTGGGTATTTCTCATTTTTCGTCAAATCTCCCCCTGTAGGGGGACAAAATACCCAACAAAATACCCCCAAAAGGTCAGACAACACTGACAAAAATAGTCCCCGGACTAGTTTTCGATTATTCTTGTGTTATTTTGGGGGCATTTTTTATTGTTCGTCGAAGCTCCCCCTGTAGTCAAGGGCAGAAAGAACGCCCCTACCCTGGTTTACTAGGCGCTGTGCGCTGAAACTCCTGTGGGCTGACAGGGTAAACCCTGCGTGATGTGCCGCGTCCTGGCGGCTCTAGGCTCTGGGGGTTCCCAGGAGGTTTACAGACCGCGCACTTGTAACCCAGGGTAGGATCGTTTTTTTCATCCCCCCCGTAGGTGGACAGGCCCGACTTCACGCTGGCCGGGTCTGCCGCGGCGTCGCCCCGTGGGCGGCCCCTTGGCGCGTCGGGGGCGGCCGTGGGCGCCTTCGTGGGCACCCCGTGCGCCGCCACCTCCGCGCCTCCCTCCTCCTCGTCCTCCTCTCCTCTCCTCCTCCCTCCTCCTCCTCCTCCTCTCTCCCCTCCTCCTCCTCCTCCTCCTCCTCCTCCTCCTCCTCTCTCCTCCTCCTCCTCCTCCCCCTCCTCCTCCGCCTCCTCCTCCTCGCCCTCCCCCCCTCGGGTCGCCTACGGCCCCGGGGGAAACCGTCCAGATCGGGTATGGCCAGGACCCCAGGTAAGGGCACCCGTTTAGTGGTAGGGCCGGACGAAAGGGGTTCCGAAATCTGCTGCATGCAGTTGGTTTCGGCCTCACCGAGGGGCCCATTCCTCGATGCATGGCCGCCTCCGGCGCTGGGAGGCGCCGGGAAAATCAGCTACGTGAGCTGATTCTCAAACCCCCCTTTTGCGATCCCACCCTTTCGCCCGACCCGAGAGTGGTAGGGCCCTGGGGCCCCTCAATTGGCCAGATTCGCTAAACCATGTTTGCCGTAGCTGGTGTTTTTCGGGTGACGGCAGTTCCGGTTCGTGGAAGTGGGATCCCATTTCCATTAGCGGGGGCGCCCCCCGTCGACGGGGGGGCGCCCCCAGCACAAATCATTAAACCAGGTTCCACTAAACCCAGTTCTGCCAACGCCCGACCAGACCTCCGACCTCGCGAGAAACTCACGACGAAGGTTTTCGACAATCTTCGGCCTCCGGGGGCCCTCGCCGGGCCTCGGGAGCGTCAGAAAACGGCTCTGGATGAAAAACGGGCCCCAGGGAAGGTCTCCAGACTTCGGGGGGCCGACGTCGTGAGTTTTTCACGACGCCGGGAGTCTGGGAGCAGTAGCGAAGCGTCTTGGCATGCCTATAGGCCTACCAAACTTGAAGCTCGCTGAGAGGCAGCGAACGCGATTTGTGGTTCTGGGGCGACGGGGGAGAGGGCAATCTTTTGTAGGACAAGAGCAAGCATGAGCAGCCCAATCGTCGGCAAGAGTAAACCTGAAATCAGAGCTTCTCGCGAAGGGCGGCTGTAAGGATTGCTGTTGACCGATCAAGCGATCGATCCCGTCGAGCGTACGGGGATCTGGCCCTGGAAACAGCGCTGCCCCCTCAGCGACCTTCAATGCCAAACAACGTTCTAAGAACCTGTTCTGTGGCTTCCACGAAGAATTGTTCTGAGAGCACATCTGGCTGGGACTGCCTTGTTGCCTTGTTCTGTCGCATTGTTGTGTTCTGAGAACACTGCTTGGGTTCTTAGAACATATCGTGGTAGGCCTATAGGAATGCCGGGGCCGTCGGTCCCTGCTCAATCGTGTTGTTTCCACGGCGTCAGTTTAAGTCGGGCATGTCCTCTACAGGAGGACCAGTCAAAACATAGGCATAACATAGTTTGGGGACGATTTGTTCCACTTGTGGTTCACTGGTTTTTACCTGTTCTGCCTGTGGGAGGACATGCCCGATATAAGCATAGGTTGCAAAGCAAGTTGACGCCATATTGCTTATACCCACATAACTTACACCTCGAATGGTGCACCACATGGCGTACACCACCCCATAACGTGCACCACGCATATGGTTCGCACAGCATTGCCTACACCAAACCGCCTGCACCACATAGCTCACACAGTTTGCACCGCTGAGCTTGCTGTACGCATACAGGTCGCGTCATCTGCATGTACCGCGTAGCTCGCCTAGCTCGCACCATATACATACACATGATGCTTTGTGCTGCTTATTGTGCTTCTTTTGGAAGGACTCGGGCGAGAAGGGGTTCCGGAAGTTCAGCGACGGACCAAACGACCCGCGGGTCGCCCCGGTCGGCACTTCGCTCTGGCGGCCGGAGGCATTGCGCCTCTCGGGCGAGGGTGCGGGCGGCGGCAAGGCGGAGGAGGGCCCAACGCCGCCGGAGGTGCGCACGGTCAAGATAGACAATGTGCAGTCCAAGGACTCCATCGAGAATGACGTGCTCAAGGTGATGAATTTCAAGTTTGGCACCGTGGCCAGCTTCACTGTCGGAGACAACGACGACGGCTCCGTCCACGTGCTGGTAGAGTTCGAAAGCGTCGAGGCCTCTCAGAAGGCGTTGACCAAGCAGGTGGGCGACGTAGTAACAAAGTTTCCGTTTGCGCGGACGGTTGCATGTAAGTTGCTCGCGATGGCACCACCCCTTCCTCGCGCTGTTCCGCCTGAGTGGCCTGCGCAGGCCCCCTTCATCCTGAATGCGCGTGGGATCCTGCGTTTCAAATGCGACGCTCGAGGGCTTAGAAGTTGGCAGCAGCACCACTATTGGCGGTCGCATCCAAGCGGAGAAGATGCTCTTAGTTCAGATACATGCCGGCCCCACCACCAGCATCAAAGGCCATCTGCCCCCGTTGGAGGCGACCGCCGATGTGGCTGTTGGTGCGCTCATCTAGGCCTCCGACAGCCAGGGGGCGAAAGGGAAGGACTGGCTCAGGGCTCCGGGGGGGGAAGGGAACACCCACCCTCGATCGCCCATTCATGACAGATCGGGGCCCGGGTGCCCCTCACCGCTCAGAATCTCGAGGTCCGGCCCCGGGGGGGCATCGTCTGTCTGTCGCGTCTCCCCGAGCCAGTTCGGGAGGGAGGGAGGGAAAGGACAGGGGGAGGGGGAGGGGGAGGGGGAGGGGGAGGAGGAGGAGGACCCGCGTGAGGTCGCCGTGATCTGCGCCGCCGTGCGTAAGGACCTCTCTGTCGGCTATGCGTAAGAGTTACAGTCGGGGCCCTGAAGAAGGAACCCTTTTGGTTGGGGAGGGGCTCCGCGTTCCTTAAGTGTTTCACAGCTTGCCTCAGGTTTTCCTTAGGTTTTCGATCTGAAATCGAGGTTGAACTTATGGGAAAAAGGGGCCTCGTTCCTTATTTATCGTTCCTTAGGTCAACGCCCCGACTGTACCGCGGTTGTCGCGCTGGCGGGCCGCGTAAGGTCGCCGTGATCTGCGCCGCCTTTCGTGAGGATCCCTTGGACGGCTACACGTGAGAGTTGCCTTTTACTTGGGACTCACCTCTGGTGCGGGCTCACAGCGGTTCACTTGGGGGGACCCTTGTGAGCCCGCACCAGGGTTGGGGGCACCCAGCATCGGCCTGGGCGCTTGGATGTGGCTCTTGGCCAAGCCGCGCACCAAAGGTCACTCTTGCATAGGGTCACTCTTGCGTGGAGCCGACAAGCTGCGTCGCAAAAGGTGATGAAGTTCAACGGCCAGACGTGGCCGATATCCTCGCCGTCAGGGGAGGTGGTCAAGCCGCAGGGCTTCTCCGCCCCTGAGGCGCCGAAGGCGCCGCGCATGGCCAACCCGACGGGCGGCGCTGGCGACGCTGACGACGCCCTGAAGTTTGCCCTGCACGGCCGAGGCCGTCCTATCGCTGCGGCCGCTGCTGCAGCAGTCGTTGGCTGCACAGGCTGCTGGCTCTGCTGCGGCTGCTTTTGGCTGGCTGGCTACCGGTTGCCGGCTGTTGACGCGGCTTCCTACTGCTCCTGCACCTCTCCTCCCAGGGGAAGGGCACGCTCCTCCACCCCCACTTAGCCTCCGTCCCCCTCCAGGGCTGTGCCAACGAGCCTCGCCTGCCGACTGTGAAGAGGTCTCGCCAGAAGTCGAGTAAGGGAATCGACTACAGAATTGATTCACCCCAAACTTGAAATTCCCGAGAAGTTCACCAGGGAAAAACGTAGAATATCCGTAGGTGCACGACCATTCTACGTTTTGTTGATGAGATTCGACAACAGAGTCAATTCTGGGGTAATTCCACTTTGCAGTCGATCCCCAGATTCGAAAAGGGACATAACAACGCATACCCCACCCTCATCTGACTCCTCTCTTCTGGGGAAGGGGGCCAGGTGGGGGTGGCATCTGGGCACTCTGGGAATCGGGGAGGCAGCCTCCGAATTCCTTTTGCGCGTCCTCGTCCTCCTTCGTCCTCCCTCCCTGTCCCTCCCTTCTTCTTCTCCCCCCCCTCCCCCTCCCGAATCCACTTTCTCCCCCCCCGGAGGTCTCCAGACTCTCCAGAGGTCCCTGTGGGGCTCCCTGTCCTGTGAGGTCTCCCGAGGAGGCCCCTCCCATCTCCACTCAGTCCTTGTGTGTCACCGTCGCTGGACGAGGAGGGAGCGAGAAGGAAGAGGAGGGACGACTCAGGAATAATTCGGAGGCAGGGGGATGGAGGGGGGAGGAGAAGGGGGAGGCAGGAGGAGAATGAGGAGGAAAAGGGAAGGAGGAACGGTGGAAGAGGGGGCAGAGGGAGGAGAAGGAGGAGGAGGAGGAGGAGGAGGAGGCCCAGTGTAAACCCAAGAGCCATCAACGATGCTGGAACAAACCCTCCCTCCAAGCTCCGTCTGTACAGGCCCATGCAAGGATGCAGTTCCACTGAAGGAAGTGCCCCGTTGGGGGATAACCATTTGGAGAACTTGAAGCGTACCAAAACACCGTTCTTTGGACTCCAGCGCCACGAATCAAATTGCTTGTTGCGTCTTGACGGCTCTGAATCGTACCAGAGCACCATCCCTGGGACTTCAAAACTTCGAGTCAACGTAATCTTGCGCCCTGGTAATCCTGAACCGTTCCAAACACCATTTCTGGTACGCGAATCACGGGGACCCGTGAAGCTCTTGCAATTGTTTAAGGCGCTTGTTCGCGGCGCTAAGGCGAGAGCCACATGTTGAAAAGGAACCGCCCGCAATAGATTGGAAATCCTTGCAGCTCTTACAATGTTTAAGACAAGTGTGCGCGGCGCTGAAGCGAGAGCCACGTTTTGAACACGACCCGCCCTCAATCCTTGAAGCTCCTGCAACTGCTGAAACGAAGGCGCGCGTCGCTCAGGTGAGAATCACATGTTGAAGCTCACCAGCCATCCATCCGTGAACCTGTTGCAAATATCAAGATTCAGGATCATACATGGTAAGCAAGACTCAGGCGAAACGCCCGGGCTGGCTAGGAAGTGGTGTGCATGACTCTTCGAGGTTTAGGACAAGGATATATTGCTCCAGAGCGGTCTGGGGCGCCCTTCGTAACGTTCTGGACGTCGCCGAAATGGAAACGGCGCCAGCCACATCCTCCAAACCCGCATAATTGGAGAGATCCCTCCTCATGTATCTTCATGTTGTATATTTCTGCTCATGTTGTTCTCGCCTTGAGGGGGAATGACGGAAGGCACGGGGAGACGATGATGATGACGGGAGGGCACGGGGAGGGAGGCGATTGATGAGGATGGAGGAGCAGTGAAGGGAGGGGAAGGGGGAGATGGACGAGGAAGGGAAGGAGGGAGGAGGAAAGATTAGGATGCGGGGGAGTTGGAGGGGGAAGGGCTAAGCGAGGAGGGCGGAGGAGAACGAGAGGAACCGCAGAGCCCCGCCGAGGCGGCGAAGCGGCGGCGGGGGGCGACACCGCTGGAGCCACACAGGGGAGGAGTCCGAGCCGGAGCCGCTCCCGGAAGAAGAAGAAAGACAAGGACCAGGGCGCGCGCAAGTCGGGGGTCCCGAAACGGTGCGGTGATAGACTGCTGCCTCGAAGATCTCTACGACCTCACCACGCGGTCTGTCACCGCACTGCCCTGTGGGACCTCAATGGCCCCTGCCGCCCGAGGCGAGGCGTAGTCGCAGAACGGCCCAGGTCCCGTAGCCGTGCGGCGGTCCCAGCTCCCCGAAGAACCACACGTTGTGGTCACTACACCGTCCGGGGGGCCTCATAGTATCGGGGGTGGACAGAACCCCCAACAGTGACACGTCGATTAGTGAATTGTCCGTTTTCGGTTCTCGAGAGGGCGCCGTGGCCGTTAGTTTCCAGGCTTGCGCCCGCCAGGTTTGGGCCTCAGGTCGTTTTCACTAAACCACGTTTTACTAAAGGGAGGTCTGTCCATCCCCGAGGTGTGGTCACCACACCGTCCGGGGGGCCTCATAGTAGTCGTCGCGAGAGAACTGTTTCAAGCAGTGGCGAAGTGTCCTGGCTCGCCTATAGCCCTACCAAACAATGTTCTAAGAACCGTTTGTGGTTTCCACGAAATGTTCTTAGAACATTTCTGGCCGGGACTGTCTTGTATTAACATATCGGTTAATGTTCTAAGAAGATTCTGTTTGGGTTCTAAGAACACTTCGTGGCAGGACTATAGAAATGCAGGGACGGTTGGTCCCTGCTCAACTGTTAGCCAGCGTGGACCCCCAACAGCGCGTTTCTAGCAATACGTTTCATTAGTGGTAGTTCTTCGGCCCATTCCGCCACAGTGCCCGGGCTGCGGGTGCGGAGTCCGTTATCCGAGGCCTCTTGGGGGCCTCTTGGAGGCCTCTTGGGCCTGTAGGGGCCTCTTGGGGACCTCTTGGGTCCTCTGGGGCGCCTCTTTGGGCCGTCTGGGGGTCTCTTGGGCGGAAGGCTCGGAGTTTCGGTTCGTGTTCCCTCTCTTGGGCGCCTTTGGGGGCCCTCTTGGGCAATCTTGGGCGCCGCCTGGGCCGTCTTGGGGCGCTCTTGGGCCGTCTTTGGGCCCTCTTGGAGTCGCCTTGGGCCGTCTTGGGGTCGTCTTGGGGGCCTCTTGGATCGTCTTGGGGCATCGAAAAACAGAGAAAGCGAAAACGCTACAGTCTCGCAACAACCTACGGAAAACGATTCATGTTTGCCTCGTAGGGCCCTCGTGGGAGGCCTCTTGGGGCGTCTTGGAGGCACTTTGGGCCATCTTGAGGCCATCGTTGGCTTCTTGGCTCGATCTTTTCGCGTTTCGGGGCCCTCTTGGACCGTCTTCGGGGCCTCTCTGAGTCTTCTTGGCCCGTTTGGGGGCCCTCTTGGTTCCAAACATGTAACGCGAGAAGACGCGGGGAAACCCAGGGGAATCGCAGGAAGCCCCCGGAGATTTATGAATTTGGGATCCGGGCCCCTCGAAGACTCCTCAGGAGTGAGAAGTGCGGCTTGGAGGATGAGGGGAATAGCCTGCGCGGACGTTGTGTGCGGGTTTGTTTGCTTGTGTGTGGATTGTGTGTGTGCTGTTTGTGTGTGTGTGTGTTTGTGCTGTGTGTTGAGTGTGGTGTGGGTGTGTGTATGTTCATGTGTTTGCGTGTTTGTGTTGTGTGCTATGTGTGTTGTGTGTTGTGCGTTGTGGTGTGTGTTTGTTTGTGTTGTGGTGTGTGTGTGTGTGTTGTGTGTGTTTGTCTGTGTCGTGCGTGCTGTATCTGGTTTGTGTGTGTGTTTGTGTGTGCTTGTTCGTTTGTGTTATGTGTGGTGTGTCTGTATTTGTGTTGTGTGTGGTGTATGGTGTGTGTGTGTGTGCTTGTGTTGCGTGTTGTGTGTGTTTGCTTGTGTTGTGTGTTGTGTGTGTGCGTTTGTTTGTGCTGTGTGTTGCGTGTGTGTGTAAGTTTGGTTGTGTTGTGTTGTGTTGTGTGTGCTGTGTGTGTTGTGTGTCTGTCTGTCTGTGTGTGTGTGTGTCTCTGTGTGTTGTGTTCAGGTGCCCCCCAATGGCAGCCGGGCGCGGGCGGCGGACGGGGCGCGCGCACGAGAGCGGCCGGGGCGAGGGCGGGCACGCGCGGACTGGGCGAGGGTGGCGGCCCTCCGCGAGGGGCGGGGGGAGCGGGGGCCCTCTCCCCGGGAGGCACGGGCCTCCTCGGAAGCGCCCGGGGTGTCTCTCCGAAGGCTCTCGAGGCCGAGGATCGGGCGGGGAAGGGGGGGAGGGCCGAGAAGGTGGAGGACGGGGAGGACATGGAGGAGGAGTGGGAGGAAGAATGAGGAGTAGGATGAGGAGGAGGACGGATAGGAGGATGGGGAGGAGGAGGAAGAGGAGGAGGACGGATGGGAGGATGGGGAGGACACAGAGGAGGAGGAGGAATAATATGGAGGATGAGGAGGAGGAGGAGGAGGAGGAGGAGGAGGATGGGGAGGATAAAGAAGAGGAGGAGGAGGAGAGATTTGAGGAGGAGGCGGAGGAGCCTCTTGCCTTCGTAGCAGCCCCCCCACCCCCGCCGCCCTCGCAGGCCACCGCTCTCTCGCGCCGCCAAGGCGCGGTCACTGGAGTTAGACTTGATCGCTTTCGGGCTCCCTGGGCCCTCCCTGGGCCCCGGGGCCGTCCAAAAAAAGCTCACGACGAAGAGCTCTGGAGGTAGGAAAGGGGTGCGGCATAAAGGGGTGTGGTGTTAATTTCATTTAGAGGGGACTCTGGCGGTGTGATGTATCGCAGATAGAATCGCCACGTCCACGATTGGCCCCATACCCCTCCACGCCAAACGCCTGTCCGACCTCCAGAAGAGCTGCCCCGAGATCCCGGCGTCGCAGCTTTTTGTCGCAACGGGCGACTCGGCCCCCGCTTCAGTGGCGAAAGAAGGAAGGACGTACACGTGCATGAACCCACGCTGGTCTCGGAAGCACGTACTCCGCGAGCGTTCGTATCGCGAGGCCGGTCCCGCGGACTGGGGCGAGAGAAGGAAGGACGCATACGTACACGAACCCACGCCGGTTTCGGAAGCACGCATCCCGCGAGCGTTCGCCTCGCGAGGCCGGTCCCGCGGACTGGGGCGAGAGAAGGTAAAACAGGGCTAGGATCGGGATAAATCGCTCCAGAGCGTTCCGGAACGCTCTGGAGCGGCCGCGGCGCCTAATACATCCTCCAAACCCGCCGATTCTCAGAGATTTCGAGTTATCCCGATCCGATTTTGTCCCGATCTTCGCGTCGTTTTAGAAGGAAGAACGCATACGTGCACGAACCCACGCTGGTTTCGGAAGCGCGCATCCCGCGAGCGTTCGCATCGCGAGGCCGGTCCCGCGGACTGGGGCGAGAGAAGGAAGGACGCATACGCACACGAACCCACGCTGGTTTCGTAAAACGACGCGAAGATCGGGACAAAATCGGATCGGGATAACTCGAAATCTCTGAGAATCGGCGGGTTTGGAGGACGTATTGGGCGCCGAGGCCGCTCCAAGAGCGCTCCGGAACGCTCTGAGAGCGCTCGGGAACGCTCTGGAGCGATTTATCCCGATCCTAGCCCTGTTTTGTTTCGGAAGCGCGCATCCCGCGAGCGTTCGCACCGCGAGGCCGGTCCCGCGGCCTGGGTGGCTGCAATCGTGTGCGAGGTGGGGCGGCCGCACGTGCGTTGCGTGGGCTCGCGCTCGTGCCGGGCCTCGGGGCCCGAGATGTAAGTCGGGCCTGTCCTTCTACAGGGGGAATGCTCCAAAATAGTCAAAAAATAGTCGGGGGAGTATTTTTGTCAAAAAATAATTTAAAAATAGCTAAAGAGAGTCAAAACATGTCAAAAATAGTCAAACAAATAGTCGGGGGACTATTTTTGTTTTAGTATTTGTGGGGCATCTTTTGAGCATTTTGGGGGTTATTTTTTAATTTTCGTCCGAGATCCCCCTGTAGGGGGACAAGCCCGACCTGACCCGGGATCGCTCCTGCCCGCAAGCTGCAGCAGAGAGAAGCTGCGACCACTGTGTACACGCCGGTCTTTGAAATCTGCACGAACGAAATGGGCACGGAAAGGATGGGTACAATGCCCAACAGTTGATCCTGCTCATTTTGAACATGACTCGCTGTTGGTGTCGCCGCGGCCTGTGTCCACTTGAGGCAGAAGGCCGTCTGCCCAACAGTGGCCGCTGTTGGTTTGGGGCAACACTTGTTGTTGGGCACTGTACCCCAGATTTCGTAATAAAAGGGAGGGGGTCTGGACCCTCCAAGACAAGCCATTTCAGACCTCCCCCGTGGGGGAACCCTCCAAAACATCGTCCCCAGACCCCCCAGGCCCTCCAAGATAGCCTGGAAGAGACCCCCCCCCGAAATGAGACCCCCCATCCCTTCATTACGAAATCTGGAGTACCCATTCTTTCCGTGCCCATTTCGGGCGTCCAAATGAAAGTAGGCATTTTGTTGGGGGTGCCCGAGTCCTCGTCTGCTGTGGGCGCCTTCCCGCTGCGAGGGTCGAGCGGCGGTCCTCCGTGCCTCCTCTCCGGGGGGCGGGCGGAGGCCCCATCTGCTTCCAGCGCCCTCCTGCGTCACGTGTCTACCCACCTCTTCCGACGAACGAGCAACACACACCCATACCCATAGGGGGGTCGTGGAGAAGAGGACTGGCTATGGGTACGGGTGCGGGTTGTCGGACCCTGGGGAACGCTCCCGTTCGAGCGGGGACCCCGATCCGACAACACGCACCCATAGCCCTCTCCGACCCCCCTATGGGTATGGGTGTGTGTTGTTGGTTCGTCATCTTTCGACCGGCGGCGTGTGGTCTACGGTTCGGGGGTGGATAGACCTCCTACCCTGACACGTCGATTAAGGAATTGGCCGTTTTCGGTTCGCGAGGGGGCGTCGCGGCCGTCATTTTTGCGGGTCCAGGTCCGTCGGTCTCGGTCCCAGGCCGCTTTCACTAAGGGGAGGTTTACTAAAGGGAGGTTTGTCCACCGCCGAACGGTGCTGGGTCGTGAGTGCTGGCGCCGCCGCCACGTCCTGCAGCGCAGCAGCTCGGGTTGGCCCTCGGTCAGGAGGGG